CTCACAGAGAGCTGCTGGGTGCAGGGTCAGGGTGAACGGTGCTGGCCCTCCTACCGGAGGCCAGTCACCTGTCCCACAGACAGGGAGCAGGCGGGGGACTGCCCGGTCTCCAGAGACAGGAGGACCAGAGTCATGAGCTCCAATGACAGTTTCCTTTACGTGGAGACATAGAAAAGCCACGCACCATTGCACACAGTACTCACAGAACCAAGTTCCGCGGGTACACAAGAGCTGGGGGGCTGGGGGATTCGACAAGAGGCCGCGTTGGAGACAGGTGCCCCGGCAGCTTGTCGAGGGACGGGCTTGCGTCAAGTGGCTGACCTTCCTTCCAGGGGGGCCTGGGGGCTTGGTCTGCATGTGTCTTTGGTCTAGAATTTGGTCTGGGACTCTTATAAGAGGCCTTGCTCGGGCCATTCTCAGAATGGTACAATTTGCCTATCAACCCGAAATACTGTAGCCTTTCGCCCGGGGTCCGAGCCCCAGGAGGGGAGATGTTGTAGCCCGAAATGACCACAAATGCCCCGGCAGCCACAGCTTGCCAAGCCCCCCTCGCCTCCACACGTCGCCTGTCCCCAGTCACTGACAGTGGTTAGTTTACTAAAGTTCCATCAGACAAAGGAAAACAGGTCACATTGCTACTCGGTAAAAACAGAAAAACAATAAGATCCACTCAGACACAGCGGCAACCATAAACACACAGAAAAGAGGAACACGTTAGAACTGTTCACGGTCTGGCATCGCAGTGGGCGTCGTCTGGCAGAGTCACGCTTTGGAAACAGTGAAATGTGAATGCTTGCAGAAGACAAGAGCTTCGGAATCGCCTCTGTCCCTTGGGAGGGGGACGTTAAAGGCTCCTCCCCCTCTGAAATTGGGGAGGGGGTTCCGGGACCCAGAGAGCCCTGCTCTCAAGAGCCGGCTGGACGTCACTCTCCACACCCCAGGCGTCACAGCTGGGCATGTGGGGCAATGTTCTGGTTTTGTTTAGGCTCTGACCCTAGAAGAGACTGTTTAAATGGCACAGTTGAGGTCCCAATGGAGCGGGGCTGGAGGCGTGTCCATACTCGGGATTTTAAAGGGAGGGACCTTCTCCCCTGGTTCAGAGAGGAACGCTGCTCTCAGTAAGGATCCTGGTCAAGCCAGTTCTGGGGTGCCAGCCCCCTGCAAATCCCAACCTTCTAGAAATGCTCCCTCACCCCCTCCCCAGTCCCCACCTGGTGCCCATCTGACACCAGCTTTGCAGGGCTGTGAAATGAAGAGCTGTCTTCTCTCCCAGGTCACCACCAAGGGCTGCACTCGTGCCTGAACTGCAAGGAGAGTTTTGGGAGCGCGTCACCCGAATCAAAGATTCAGCGACCCTCCAGAGGCGCTCCTGGCACTACCCGCAGGGAGCTGGCTGGCCTGGGCTGGGATCTTCAACAAGAGCGCATCAGGAGCTTCCCAGCCTCTGGGAGATGAGGACAGGGCTGAGGCTGGAGAGATGAGGAGGAAAAGCCCCCGCCCCGACACCAGGCCCCTCTGCACGCCTGGCCCGCACCCTTGGGTCCACTCCCTCCCCCGTCGTCCCTCCCCAGATGCGCCACGCTTCCCTCCTACAGGCAGCTTCCAGACGTCAGCTGGGGAACGCCAGAACCTGACAGGAGCCCACTGAAACGCCACAGGCCGTCCGGGGAGGCTCAGCCCCAGGGCGCCAGCTCCCCCGGGGACGCCCCAGGAAGGGCTGCGGCTGGCGGTCAGCCTCAGGGGGCTCCGAGGCCGGAGCGTGCCCTCCCGGCCCTCTCAGAGCTCTCGCTGCTCCTCCCGGATGAACAGTTCTCAAGCTGCTCCTTCCAGTCCCTCTGGCTACCCACCCTCGGTCTCAGAACAAAAGGCTGGACTTTGCTCCTGGTGCAGAGGTTTCTCCCGCTCCTAGAATGGGACTCCTGCTGTGGGCCGCATCCGTGGGCTTGGAGTCCATCCCCGCATTCGCGTGGCTGCTGCTTAATCCGGCTTCTCTCTTCTGGGCGGCGATGAGTTTAACGAGGTGTCTCCTGGCGGCCGACCTTTCTCCAGCCCCTCTGGGTCTGGCCCGCTGGTGGGCCCCCCCGCCCTGTGTCTGCTCCTACTGGAACCAGGTTGGAAGGTGGTACACACCTTCAAGATGGGTCTGCCGCCCCCGGAAAACTCCACCCTGCGTTTTCTGGGGCAGAACATTCTGCCACCGACACAAGCACCGAAGAATTGCTTTTAAAAACGAGACCTATTGCTGGCAGGATCAATTCAAGTGGTAAAAGTGTATGACAGTCTCTAAGTGTATATATAGTTGTATGTAAAAAAAAAATACCAAGAAAAATTTACCAAGTTCCCATAAAATACATCTAATTCAGTAAGAAAGCTCTGCCTCGCCCCGCACATCTGCCTGTGGGTTTTCTTTTTGTACAAAATATCCCCAATTCAAAATACATGTATGCACGACACCGCACACACACACGCACACACACACATGATAACGTTTTTTGTGACAATTAAAAAAAAAATCCTAGTGCAAATATAAAGCTCTGTAAACCTGGTCCTATGGGAATCTAACGTTAGTAAACAGCAGGAGAGCAGCCCATCGACCAGCAAGCGCTCACATCATGGTCTCTACTAGGATGTGGGTGGGTTTCATGAGATCGCCGTTCACGGCCGCCGTGCGGGACTTGTAGGGTGTGGCCCCCTCGAGCTCTACAGCCCAGCGGTTGGGTTCCCTCGGGGTCAGCAGGTACTGGAGTCTCTGGAGAAGGAAGGGGGACAGGAGCGGAGGAAAGTCAGGCGGCCTGGTTTCCGCCTTCACCTCGACCGTCTACCAGCTCTGGGTCCTGCCAGTGTGCTGTTTGGCCTTTTGCAAACCACCCCCCTCTCTGGTCCTCCCATCTCATCCACTGGCAAATAAAGGCCTTCACTAGGGGCTCTCAAGGCCCCTCCAGGCCCTCAATCAGAGTGGGATTCCTGTCGGCAGTCTCCCTGGCCAACCCTTGCTTACACACCTTAGAGACAGGGCGAGTCAGACCTCAAGCTCTGACTTCTTTCTCCCATGGAGCTCAAATATGCCTCCTTGTGACTCCCATCCCCCAATTTCTCTGACTTGCAAAGCAGCCAAGTTTCTGCAATTTGTATGCCCGAGGTTGTATAACTGTCTTGAGCCGCCCATGGCTCCCACCTTCCTCAAGGAGGACTCCAAACTCCTCAGCCTACCACAAGCTGCATTTCCTGCCTTCTTGCAGACGGGTCTCCCCCATTTCCCTGAAGGCATCCAGCTCTCCCTGCTGAGGGCTGGGAGACCACTGCTTGTGTCTGAGCTGCACCTTCTGACAGGGGGGCCAGAGGCTGGACCGCATGAGAATTCTCACTTCAGCCCCGGGCAGGGTGAGTTCTGTCCTCCCAGCAGGTTGCCTGATCATGGAATCAGTGAGGGAAGGAGCCCTCGCCAGGACACCAGAAAACCAACAGCGGAACTGGGGCCCCAACTCACTGCTCCTGCCTTCCAGCCCACCTCCTGCCGAGAGACTTAGATAGGAAACCGCTGGAAACAAGAAACTCTCTATCTAGGCACTGACATTCAATTCAGGTATATTACAATTCTTTAAAGCTTCTATTAAAAGCTGAAATATTTCATTTGAAAATCCAGATTTCCATCTGCTCTTAAAAAACTGCAAGATCTGGCCACCCCAGACCCATGTCCCCTCTTGGTGACAACCGGCCAGAGGGGAGCACGGTGCTGCATGCTGCAGATTGCAACCGCCTCCTCCACTTCACTCCCTGCCCGCCCCAGGGGCCGCCCTCATCTGCTTTGCCAGTCTGGTCCCTGGAGGAAAGGGACTGGAGGCCCTGGGTAAAGGCGAGGCGTGGAACCCCCGCAGGAGGGGCAGGCTCTGCTCCCCTTTCGTCGCTTTGCCTCTCCGCACATCTGCACAACGGGGTGTGCACCTGGAAGGCGGGACCAGAGGCCAACTCCGTTGGCAGCCCCCTGGGGCTCGGTCACGTGGGAGTGCAGGCGCAGCTGGAGTGCTCCCAGGACAGAGTTCTGGGTTTGCAGACCCGGCTCAGGGAGAAGTTCGTGGCTGGGAGGACACCTTGGCAACCTGTGCCGGTGGGAGGTCGAGGGGCACATAGCAAAGATGGATGGATGGGGCTCAACTGCCTTCAGAGGCTTGGGTTTTATAATACTTTAAAATCGGGTATTGAAGGGACACAAGTTAGTGACCTGTTGGGTGTGCCCCTCCCCATGGCTGAAATATGTAATTGCTGTGGGCACTGACCAATCAGAACAGATGTTTCTGGGTGGTAGGGACATTCTGGAAATTCCCGGGGAGGGGCTGGGTTGGCATGGGCTATTTAGGGTGGCACCTGGAGAGCTCAGGGTAGTAGCTGTTACTCATCTGTCCCCAGGCCCAGTATTTCAGTCTTTTAACAAATGGTAGGGCCAATCAGTGTCCCAGCTGAACCCTCACATCCTTCCCCACGTCCCCGGAGAAAATACAATGGGTTTAATGCTGCAGGAACACCCTGGGCCGTCCAGCTCAGACAGACCCCGGCGTCACGCTGTCCTCCTTCGCACACCCCTGCCTACTTCCCCGGTCTGGTCCCTTCCTGCCCGGCCTCCTCTCTCCCCACCACCACCACCTCCAGGCCGCTCCCCTGCCCACAAGGAAACTGGCCCAACCCAAGGGGGAGCCGGAGCCCCAGGACATCCTGGCTCCAGATTTTTAAGAGAATAACAATAAAACAGCCCAGAACAAAACAGTGTAGTCTTGGAGCCAGCCCAAGCCCAAAGGTTAAGAGAGATTCTAAGAAAAGGATTTCTTGGAAAGAGCCCAGCTTTTGCCAGGGCCTGGAATCTCCAGTATGGTCGGAGGAATTTCTGAGAGGTTAGCGGTGGGCAGGGGCCGCGGGCGAGGGCACCGGCAGGCACAGAGGAGGAAGCGGAGGCTCTGCCTTGTGCGGAGGTGTCTCCTGAGGGTCGGGCAGCAGATGTGGCCACAGAGTCGGGGAGGGGGACACCAGCATGGGCTAGGCTTATCCAAAATGTGGCCGCAGGGTCAGGGGCCTCTGGGTGGAGCTCAGCCTTCCTCCCTGGCTCCTTGTCTCCTGTCTCACTGTGTCAGAAACACGGGCCCCCTTCACAGGATAAAGCCCTAGCTCTTAGCTTGGCATCCAAAGCCACTGTCACCTCTCCAGCCTCATCGCCCACCCCCTAGAACATGTCACTGCTGCCCAAGTGCTGTCACATCTCCTTGCCTATGAATGTACTGTGCCCCACACCATTCCATCTCTCATCCTCTGCTTGGCAAACTCCTCCTCCTGCCCACAGCCCTCTCCGAAGGTCACCACAGAGCCTTCTCCCACAGAACTGTTCTTTGCTCCTGTTTTCCCATGGTGGGCGCTTCTGCCCATAATCTCAAGCACTCACTCCATGGGGCAGGTGAGGGGTCTAGGACTCAGAGAGGGCAAGCGACGCACTCAAGGTCACACAGCAAATTGCCACCTGCCTGGCTTTTGGCCTCTTGCCCTCCCCCGACAGCCCCGTCTCAGGGTCCCACATGCTCACCACAAGGAATGGCCCTTTCGTCTGGCAGAGGCGGATGACCATGACCAAGGGGACACACACCATGGAGGACAGGGCCAGGCTCCAGCCCAGCCCGATGGCCCAGGTGGGGTACACATAGACTTTGTTGTAGGTCAGGGGTACGTACTTGACGAGAGAGAAGATAAAGCATCCCTGTGGAGAGATGGGGGCAGTCAGGGCGTCCTGGGCATTGGGGCGGGGGGCTTCTGGGACCAAGGCAGGCCCACCTAAGGGGCCTCACACCTTCTCCTCCCTGCTGCATGAGGACCCCCACCACCCGTGCAAATCTGACCAGGTGGCTCCCCAGTGCCTTCAGGATGCAGTCAACTCCTCAGCCCGGCCGGCAGTGTCAGCCCGGAGCTGGGCCCCTTCCTCTCTCCCTACTTACCACCTCTTCCTCTACGCTGACACTCCAGCTACCCTGAACTCCTTCCAGCTCCTCAGCCACTTGCCACAGGGCCTTAGTACAGGCTGTTCCCTCTGGCCGACCTCTTTCCCCTCTTCCTCTCCTCATCCTGATCTAGCTCTAACAGGCCTTATTCACCCAGGCCCCGCCCGGATTCTGTCAGGTGCGCACTCTCCCCCCTCCCAGAGAGCGTGAGGTTACAATTACTCCTCCAGCACACAGCACCCCCGACCTGAGTCTGTGAGAGCAGGACGTGTGTCTGTCTTGTTCCCTGTTTTTCTAACACCTGGTGCAGTTCCAGGTGCACACAGCAGGTGCACAATAAATGCTAGCTGCATGGGTGAAAGCTTTTCCTCCCCTCCTCCACTGCCACCGACCCATCTCCATCCCGAGGCCCAGGCCCGGCCCCCGGGGTAAGCTGTGGTCCTGGGCCTTGCCCTGCTGACTGTCCACAGCCCGGCCCTAAGCCCACGTGAAGGGCCAGTGGCCATCGGCATCCATGAACAGTGTGGTGGGGGGTCAGCTCTGAGCCCCACAGCCTGGGTAAAGTCCACATTTCCCCAAGAAGGGCACGCAAGGCTGGCCAGGAGGGCCCAGGACTCCTGCTTCTGGTCAGAAGGACGGCATCTCAGAACATCACCCAGGCTGTCTGGGATGACCCACAATGTGAAAATGACTTAAATCCCCATTACTTAATAACTGGGTTTGGACAGGAAGACAAATCTACCTAAATCAGAATTGATGACAAGGGAAGGGAGAGCATTAGGCTACAGACGCCTTCCATCCAGCATCTACTGTATGCCTGGCCCTGTTGTTGTTTCTGTCCTTCTGTGTGGGGCTGGAGCTTAGACACAGGAAGTACCAGGAGAGGGCTACTCTGAGCTCTCCCAAGACTAGGAAGCTTCATACCTGCCCAGGTCACATTCCTCTTTCCATGGCTGATTTCATCCTCCCATCTTGGAATGCAGCCTATCTCTGATCTATCCAACTCCTCAGGGAGGGAGAGAGGAAGAAACTGACAGTCACAGTGGTAAGAGGAATTGCCTACAAACAAATGTTAAGTGAGGAGGAGAACATGGGCTTTGAACCCAACTAAATTCATCTCCAACAATAAACTCGCCAATCGTTGTGGGTACTGGCTGCTACAGTTGACTTAGTTTTATGGGGAAACTATGTGCCTCAGATGAAAAGGCCACAAGCATATTAAACAACAGCAGCAACAACTTGAGCTTGTAGGCTGCCACTCACGTCCCACTGCAGAATCCCCTTGTTTTACAAATGGGGACACCGGGGCCCCAAGAGGGAAGAGACTCACTTAAGCTCACACAGTGAATTAATACCGATGTTGACTTATTCTGGCCTGGGAGCAGAGGTCACTGAGGGGACGGCCCATCTATCCCTCAGCGCCTGGTTTCTACGTGCAAGGAACATTTCTGCTCCCCACGTGTGAGCAATAAACGTCCTAGGAGATGTCTTCCGCTGCATTTCGCTCCAAAGATAACTGGTTTCAAACACTGACAGGGAAGCAGCTTGTGCTGCAGAGGCCTTGAGCCTCTGAGTGGAACCTTGAAGCAGGCTGCTTGGGCATGCTCCAAGGCCACACTCCAAGATGGCGGGTGAGGGAACCCTGCTGGGAAGAGCAACCTGGCACATCACTGCCCTTGAGTCCTGGGCGGGTATGAAGCTTCCTTGTTCTTGAAGAGCCCCGAGCATCTCTCTGCTGGGACTTCCCCTCTCTAGCCACAACCCCCACCCTGCCATGGAAACACCACATTTCCCATGTCTATGACCTCTCCAGTGGATGTCCCAAAGACTCCTCCACTTAATCAGTGACCCAAAGTGAGCTCAGGAGCTCTGGAAGGGTTTGGGGAAGGTTATGTGCTCTGTCGTGGATCCCCTGCATTTCTCAACAAGCCCCGGGACACCTTCCTCTTTCAGAATGCCTTGCCTTTGCACAGGCTGGTTCCTCTTCCAGGAATGCCCTTCCTGTTTTCTCTTCCTGACAGACTCCTACTTGTCCTTCCAAACTCATCTCACGGTAACCTTCTGGAGCAGCCTGCCCCACCTCTCCGAGGCAGAGCCGTCACTAGGCTTGTCCCGGGCCAGCAGTTAGCAGATTCTGGATGCAAGATAGTTAAGCAGTTGAAACTGTCAAGCCCCAGGGAGTAAAGGTTCCTACCCACAGCCAGGCAGGGCAGAACTCACAACACAGAGAACCGGAGTGACCACGGCCCAGCTGTACTTCATCCATGGCCCAGGCCGATAGCCGATCATGTCCTCAATACCATCATAAAAGTTATCACTGCCTGCAAGAGACAGAGGCAGATAGTGACAAGGTGTCCAATGCCAGCATCCACCCTGGGAATGACACAGCCAGGGCTCAAGGGTTATGAGGGTCCCTGGGGCCTGATCCAGGTCCCTGCCTCTCTACACCACATAGATGTAAATGTGGCAGATATTTATCTGAAACGATCTGAAATTCAAATGTAACTGGGCATCTGGCATTTTAATGGCAATCTTAGGCAGACCTCAACTCCTGGCGTGGCCAATCCAAGGTCTCAAGGAGGTCAAAATGGACCCTAGAGTAGTTAGTCACAGACAGACCCAGCACAGTCAAGGTCTGTGTTTGTCACAACGCACAGCCACAACGTGCACCCTCCGCACAGGGGGAATCTGTGGGGGGGCTACAACGCTATTACTGTGTAGGGGAGGGGCAGCCGTGAGAGGAAAAGTCCAGGCAGGGGAGGCCTTTCTGTTTGACTCAGAATGAATTCCCACTATAAGTCTCTGTTTCTGAAGTTTCTAAATAGAGAGGCCCGAAGGAGAGACTTGAGAAAGGATATGCAAAAATCTGTACTCACCATATATCCAGGCAATAACAAAACATTCGAAGAATGCAACCCATAAAAGGCACACACCACTAGCTGCATAGTAGTCAAAGAGCTGGAACACATACACGCCACCCTGGGAAGAGAAAAACCAGACAAGGGGGATTTGTTATTTGGTATCTAATTCCCTTAATATACAAAGAGCTCTGGCATATCAATAGGAAATATAAAGCCCAAGAGAAAAATGGGCGGAAGCTATGATGACCAGATATATATGTAAAAAGAGGCTCCACTTCATGTTGACAAATTTAATTAAAAACACACACACACAGAAAAATGAAAGCAAAAAATGATGGGTTCACTGAAGCCGGCTTCCAAAGGAGGTGCTTAAAACCAACTGCGGCCAACACAAAAGACTTCGGGGATACAGCGTGTGGACCTGTGATCTGCCTTTGGGAGTGGGGTTCTTATGGAGTGAGGTTCTTAGAGACATTTCAAGAAAAACATTCATTTTTACTTTCAGTAAGGAAAAGAAGTGATGTGAAACCCTTAACTGAGCTTGGGGGCAAATGCAACTCTGCTGGAGGATATGGGAAGGTGGGGGGAGGGGCGCAGGAGAGAGCACACCCTCGACCCATGCTCAGCTCACCTGTTTACGTTATTTAGTACAAGAATCTTCTTTTCTGGCCTGCCTCTCGCTGGACATGTGGATGCACTGCTGCCCTAGACACTCTTGCTCCTTTCCTCTCTCTGCTTCTTTTTCCCACTTGAAATGGATTCTCCTCACGGCCCCTGCCCACCCTCTGAACAACGCATACTCCCTGTCAACAGACAGGGATACTGTCTGCACTGCCTGCAGTATTACCAGGAGGTCTGCATTTACCCTCTCCAACGCCTCCCCCTGCCTCCAGGCTTGAGAAGGGCCGCTACACACAGCCGTGGGTGACCAGGACCATTGTTAACATTGAGGTCAACCAAAGCACCCTTCCCCGAGCCTCCTCAGACCAGGGGAGGACGGGGGGCAGTGGGTGGCCACAGTTTTGCCATGGTAACAGGAAAAAGGGGCAGGGGAGTTGGGTCAACTGCTGGGTCCCCCCACCCAGTGTAGGCCGAGTCCCCTGGGCAGGGCAGGACCCAGGACCCCTGAATCGGGCGGGGCTGCATCCTCGCACTCAGCCTCCGCCTCCGCTGGTAGGGGAGCACGGAGGCGGCGTGGCCGTTAACTGCTCCCAGAAGTGTATTTAGGGCACCAAGGGCCCTGCGAGGCGAGGTCCCTCATGCCAGTGAGACAGCCACCTACCTCTGTCACCATCGTCAGCCCCACCAGGTAGCTGATGCTACATATGCAGGCGATGAAGATCTCCCGACGGAAACCCTTCCTTAGGAAGGATGGGTAAAGATCAACCAAGGACGTGATCTGTCCTTCGACTTCCACAAACTGGGGAGGAGAAGAGAGTGGGTGAGCAGTGGATGCCCAGCACCTCCCTCTGCTCAGGGAGGAGAGCCCAGCGTGCGTGGAGTTGGCCTGTGGGGTCAAGCCACATGCGCGACCCTGGTCTTCCAGGCTCTGCACAGTGAGCCCTGCCCGCCGGTCAAGCCACGGGGTTCCACGCACAGTTCACTACGTATCCCACACCTTCTCATCTTAGCTTAGGCTGGGCCCGCCAGCAGAATGCCTTCCCCTCGTCATTCAAGACTCAGCTCAAGAATGACTGCTCCTCTGAGACCCATGCTGACCCTCTGCCTGGCACGCTTGCTGGCATGTGTGTGTTGGCATGACAACCTCCCTCTTCGGTCTTGGTCCTCTCTGAAGCCAAGGGTGCTGCCCCCTCATTTCTAGGCCTCGAGTGCCCAGCTGGGCCGGGCACACGTGGCTGCTCAGCAAACACGTGACAAATGAGAGGGTAACCCAGAGCAAGTTGGCCTCAGTTTGCCCATCAGATTCATTTGGTGGCTTTTCTGGGGTTTTTTTTGGTGAGGAATATTGGCCCTGAGCTAACATCTGTGCCCATCCTTCTCTACTTTATATGGGATACCGCCACAGCACGGCTTGATAAGCGGTGTGTAGGTCCACACCTGGGATCTAAACCTGAAAACCCCGGCCGCCAAAGCGGAGCGTGCGAACTTAACTACTACACCACTGGGCCGGCCCCTCACTCGGTGGTTTTTGACCCTTTGGGAATCGTGGGCCCATGAGAGAATTGTGCGTGCGTGCACACCCCCATGGTCATGTGTGTAAGCCAAATGCAGCCTATCACTCCAAGGCTCATGGGCTCTGGGAACCCATCCTTGGGCTCCCAAAGGTGAAGAAGCTGATTTGAAAAGGCCTCTCCATAAGGAATGTTCTAGAATGCCTCTCAATCTTTCTAAATCTTTCCATCTTTGCACTGAACAATTTATCTTGGAGATTGCTCCATATCAGAGACTTGCCTTGTTTTTTAAATGGCAGCATAAAACTCCATCCTGTAGGGGCCAGCCCGGTGGCATAGCAGTTAAGTGCACGCGTTCCGCTGCAGTGGCACAGGGTTCGGATTCCGGGCGCGCACCGACGCACCGCTTGTTAGGCCATGCTGTGATGGCATCCCATATAAAGTGGAGGAAGATGGGCATGGATGTTAGCCCAGGGCCAGTCTTCCTCAGCAAAAAGAGGAGGATTGGCATGGATGTTAGCTCAGGGCTGGTCGTCTTCACACACAAAAAAGAAAAAAACAAAAAACTCCATCCTGTGGACATGTATCACCATGGGATCTATAACCAGTGCCTGATGGGTGGTTTCCAGCAGGAACTCTTACCCTACATCTGCCTTTAGGTGCACGTGCACACGTGTCCACAGCACAATCCAGAAGTGCAACTTGAGGGTTAAAGGGCACGTAGAAGCATTTTATATTTGGGTGGCTACAGCCAAATTGCCCCACCAGCCAACACCCCCTATGAGGCCAATCTGATTCCTTTAGAAGTTGAGAAGCTAAAAGCTCGCCCCGTCTGTTCCTTCATCAGGGAGTGGCGTTGGGAAGGACGTTTCCCAGTATTCCTACAAGACAAATCCAACCGCTGACTCCTCTGGGGTGCATCCAAGGAGGATCAGGGAATACAAACAGGGAGCAGAGCCCTGCCATGTGCCGCAAGGGGCTGGAGAAATGACTCTCTGTTGTCAAAAACTCAGGGAAAAGATGACCAAGAGGCTCTCGAAAGGCCCCAGCGAGAAGGGGCTGCCGTTCTGACCTCTGAGTGATGTCAGCCCAAGGCGTTTTGAATCTAAATTGCCACAGAATTACAGCAAACCTGCAGCTCAAACACTAAGCTTCAAAAAGAGTTAAAAATGAAGGTTCTTTGCTTTTGTGAGATGGGAAATTAAAGACAGGAAGATCCAGTGTCACTGTGAGTCAGGGCAAGACCAGCACAAGCTCCTCATTTCCCAGATCCCTGTGTTTCCGGGAAATGCCGCCACCCCCGCCCCCAGCCTCTTCAGACCTCCCTCACTTAGTAGCTATGTGACCCTGACCTCTCCGAGCCTCAGTTTCCTCCCCTGCAAAATGGGAGGATCTTGCCTACTCGGCAGGGATGCTGACACAGATTTGAAACCCTGAGAGTCAACTGGCAATCGGGTGATCACTGTCAGCCCACGTCAGGGGAAGGGATGGCCGAGGGCCTGGTGTGTGTGAGGGGGCTATAGCTCTCTTCTCCTCGTGCCATTTCACAAACTGTGTCCTCCTCAGGCAGGCCAGAATCCACAGGCATCTGCCTCCATGTGGTGATGTCCCTGCTCCATGTCACCGAGAAACACACAGCAGTACGATGGCTCCCAAGCCAGAGACAGTGCTCCCCACAAACGCTGGGGCCCCTTGGGCCGCATTTTCTCCAACAAGCAAGGGTCACGCTCCATCAGCAGGGCCTCTCCCTGAAGCTGGCTGTGGGTCCTGCGCTTCCACAGGAGGAAGGTATTTTGGGGGAACTCAAAGGTAAGGCTAGGGGGGACGAGATCAGCAGGTCTGGGAACAGGCAGCCCTGGGGCCCAGCTGCAGCTCCTCCTTCACCAGGCGTGTGCAGTCTCTGCCGAGCCCCCGCTCTCTCGAAGCCTCTGTTTTCTCGGCTCTCGAGGGCAACAGCGGTACTCGGCATCGGGACACTGTGCGGATTAAGGAGCTAATGAATAAAAAAGCCAGGCTGGTGAGAGGAGGGAATGGGAGTTAGTGTTTCACGGGGACAGTTTCAGTTTGGGAAGACGTAAAAGTTCTGGAGAGGGATGGTGGTGAGGGTTGCACAGCAATATGAATGTACTTAATGCCACTGAGCCGCACACTTAAAAATGGTTAAGATGGTCAATTTTATGTTTTGTGTATTTTACCACACACACACACATTTAAGAAGCCAGGTATGCAGCCTGGCCCACAGAAACACCTCGAGTGGCAATGCTCTGACCCTATCACGGTGCTGGTGGTGAGTGAGGCAGTCACTGGCATCGGCAAAACCTTCCTCCAGGTCCCTAAGTTCACACAGCAAAGAGAGGCAAAGGAGGGATCCCAACCTACGCCCACAGGCTCCTGAGACACCAAGCCCCAGCTCCCCGGGTTCGCATCCCACCCATGCCCCTTATGGTTTATCAATTAGGCAGGCCGTTTAACGGCTCTGAGCCGTGAGCTCCATGCTCTCAAGTGGGAGGAGTCCCGGCTCCCCCAGGGTGGCCTGGAGAGCTCCCCAGGATTCCCTCGGTGTGTGTGGTGTGGCGGCTGTGGGGCCTGGCTCAGAGGCGCCCCCCCAGCCAGCCCCACCTTCCTCCCCGGGGGGAACTCGAATGAACAACCACGTTCCGCAGCCCCAGAGGCCTATTTTGGGCCCATGGAGATGTCATGCTTTGTCATTTATTAACCTCTCTCTCCGTTTTTGATTTTTGCTGTCACTTAGAGCTCTGGAAGGAGTTATAAAAGCCATTTCCCTGGGGCCTCCACTGGGCCCAAGCTCATTAACTGGGAATGATTAATGGAGTCTGCCTGCTGTTTATACAGCTCAAGCCATCAACAACGGCCGGAGGATTTTGTTTTCAGTCTCCCAAATGTTTTCATTCTGTCTTCTCTGCTGATCCTGGGCCCCTTTCTGCCAAGCCCTTTGCTCTGCTCTTGACCCTATCGGGGGCCGCCTCCTCTTCTCTGCCTGACCTTCTAAGACTTTCCTCCTACCTGGTTCTGAGTCCCAGGGACCCGCCTGGGGCCCTGAAGATGCAAGGGCTTTGAGGCCGCTGCCCCTGGGGCAGGCGGCGAAGCCGTCTCCTCAATTGGCCGCAGGCCCCACCTCTCACAGGGTCTCAGCTGACCAAAGACTTTCCATGAGGCAGCAGGACTCCCAGCCTGCACATGAGGCTGCAAAACTCTGGCTTTTCAGTGACCAGCCTCAGATGGTGGCACCTGGGTGGCACCACCTGCAGGCTCTAAGTGGCCTGGGCACACCACCAGCTGGCCCTGCACACACAACTCCCCACTTCCGGAGTCACGCCGACACTTGAAACTGTCGTCTCGAGAAGGCCCCAGTGACAATACACATATCTCCAGGGAAAGGTGTCCCAGGAGCTCTCGCTGGCCGTTCTCTGGACTGCGAGAGCCACAGAGGATGGGACGTGGGGGTCAGAAGTGCAGGAAACAACCTCAGTGTAGACAGAGTCCTGCCCAGGGAGGCAGAAGCCAGGACGGCCAGAGAACGGGGGGTCTGAGCGAGGGTCCCCAGTGCTTAGCTGTTCATGAGGCCCTGGAGGAGCACGTTTCACTGCGAGGGCTGAGCTCACCTATGCCCAGGCTCCAGGAAGCACAGAACACCCAGCATGGTTCAGGCTTCTTTGGCCACACTGAGGACCATCAATGACGGACCAGGCAGTGGTCACCTCATGGTCTAAACAGAGACGTCAGTCCCTTCCCCAAACTGCCCGACTGCCGTGTCCCTCCTGGGCCCTGCCCTCACGCTCCACCCAGCGCATCGTGACTGTTTCTGTCTGGTTCCTCTATTTCCCAGCTGTGGCTTCATTTTAACCACACCCCTCGGGCGTCTGTTTCCCCTTGCTGGGGTCAAAGACTTGAGCTTTGGGGCAGATGTCCTCCTCCTGCTGCTCAGAGGCCTTTCCCACTCCTGCGTCCTGGAGGAACCCTCGCTGGCTGAGCTGCAGCAAGTCTAACGTGAGGGTGGGGAGGGGCTGATCCCCTGATGCCCTGGCCACCTCACACAGCTCAGAGGACGCAGCTTTTCCAGAACCAGGCTCCCCATGGGCAGTCCCACCCTAGGGCCATCCCTCCATCTGTACATACCTGGCTATCCAGGCCAAGCAAGAGCAGCATGATAAAGAAAAGAATGGACCAGAAGGTGGGCAGCGGCATCATGGTCACGGCTTTAGGGTAGGCAATGAAGGCCAGGCCGGGACCTAAAGGGAAGAGCAAGGGGGAGGGGCAGAGGGGGACATCAGCGACCAAGCCACCCGGAGCACGGAGCTCACACGAGACGCTCGGGGCTGAGGCGGGGGAAGAGACCGGCCTGCCTCACTTTTGGGTGGCGTGCACTGGGGTGCAGGCAGGGCCCCGTTTTAGCATCTGTCTCCTATGCAGCAGCACAAGTGCCCTCCTCACCCACCAGGATCCGGACGGACGCGGGGTATTTGGGGCAGAAAATGAGACTGAGCCTGGACTCACTCTGCCGGCTTGCGAAAGGGGGTCCCCCCAAACCAGAGCAACCACGCCAACGTTTGCTTGTTGGAAGCAAACGGGGAAAGGCCTGGTTACCTGACTACTGAAGCCCCTGCTGGCAAACAAAAGGTCTCTACTGAAACGCTGCCTGAGTGGAGAGACAGGAGGACACAGAACCACGCCCACAGGGCAAGCATCTCTCCAGAGGGCATCTGCGCACTTCTGAGCACCATCAGAGGCATGTGGGGGAGACCCCAGCCGGGAGGCCCAGGCCTCCTCCCGGTGCTCACTCCACCACCCCTCTTCACAGCACCACATGCCTGCGCAGGGCCTCAGTCTCCCTACTTGAGAAGCGAGGGGCAGGGGACCATAAATGACACAAGGAGCCTCCTCGTGTTCAGATTCTCAGACGCTGATGCCTTTTCCCTAGAAAAGGGCTTCTGGTTTCTAAAGAGGGGGCTCTGACGGGGTCTGGAGGCAGGTTTGGGAGACAGGAGCCCGTCAGCTCTGGGGGCGCCTATCTGACTGGAAACATTCCAGAGACTTAGAGGCACGTCCCCGCCTGTCTGCAGCAGCCCCAGAGAAGACGCCGGGAAAGATCTGAGCTGTAACTGAGACCCATGGGTCCAAGAGGCAGTTGGGCGCAGCAAAAAGGAGGACGCCTAAGGTGCCTGGGCTGAAAAAATACAGCAAAATCCACAACTGAAGAAAAGGTCAAGAAATGGGAGACAAAAAGTGCTGGAGGGCGGGATATTGAAAACAGATACCAGAAAGAAAACGAGTGGTCTGAGAATTAAAACAACAACTTGGAAATAAACTGGAGGCAGAAAGCACGTGTGGCGGGCAGGGCGAGTCCTGCCATAGCCCAGTGTCCGCTGACGGAGGAAAGCCTGACCGCAACCAGGTCCTCGGGCGGCGACGCCGGAGAACTCCGCAAGTGGTGGGGGGTGCTGGCACCGGCCCGGGGCCAAGGGTGAGGAGGAAGCCGCGTGCCCACCTCCGCGGGGGCCCTGGTCCCCCAGCTCGGCTCTGGCCCCGACTGGGCAGCGTCACCGCGTGAGGGATCAGGTCCAGCGGCTGCGAGGCAGATGTGAAATGGGCCCACCCACCCCACGGCCTCCAGGAGGCTCTCCACGCGCTTCTGTCCGTATTTCCGTTTTGCCTTCTCAAGCCAGCCTCTGGCAGAGGGTCTGAGCGTCCTTCTGTCCCAGAAAGCCCGGCAACGAGAGAAGTGCGAGTGCGAGGCGGCGGCACACCCAGCCCCCGCGCCTCTCCCCGCTGAGGACACGCTGCCCGTGTGGCCCTTGGCTAAGTCATCTGGCTCAAATGCTCTTTGCTCAGCTCAACGTGGTGCTTGTTAAAAGCTTGTTAGAGAAATAACCCCCTCGAGATGTCAGCTGTTCAGACGTGGCCCTGGGGAATCAGGGACACGGCCTTTGAAGCGGACGGGAGGGAGAAAACAACTTAGCTTGACGACGTGCATGTACATAAAAATACCTCGTTCTCCACAGACAAAGATCTGTTTTACAGATTGATATATATCTCCCCCTGCCAAATTCACTCAGTGCTTCCGGCCACTCCCAATCCATCAGAATTGGTTTGCAAGGAGGTGTAAATCGTCCCCCCTTCATCACTCTAACGACCAAACTCCCAAGTGGGTGTGGATATTTCTGGAATTACTTTCTGTTTCCTCAGTCCCTGGCCTGCCTTTCGGGGCTCTCAGGGAAGGAAAGCTATGTCTCAAGGTCTGATTGGGACCGGGGGGCAGTGGAGAGATGTGCGGGGTGGAAGTGTGGACTTGCTGCACTGGGCCTGCAGCACTGCGGGCACGAGGATGGGGAAGCGGGGAGGAAAGCAGGGCCCAGGGGCTCTGAGAGGTCAGAGGAGCCCGGACGGAAGGGCCAGAGGTTGTCACATGCGTCCAGGGTGGAGTGGGGAGGCAGGAGCGGGGACATCCTCACGTCAGAGGGGCCTGCCAGTATGTGGTGGGCGCCCTGTCCAGGAGACCCCAGCTCTGACCCTGACCAGCCTGAGCAAGGCCTTGCTCTCAAGCCACTGGTGTCCTCATCTGAATGCGCGAGGCTGAGGCACCCTGACCCCCCAGTACTGGGGTTCTGTGGCTGGGGAGCCAGGACACTGCCCCTCGTTTCCAACAAGGGCAAGGGCAACGCCACAGTGGGGACTCCAGCTGTGCCTGACCCTGGTCTGTGGTGGTCCTTGCAGTCAAAACCTCTCACTCTCTTCTGGGCCTGAGAGGAGCCTCAGCCCAGGACTCTCGCCTGCCTCCAAGTGGCCCCAGAGAGGTCGTGAGAAATCAGGAGGTCGGGCGGAGCAGAGGGCTCTGTGTAAAGTAACAAAACCTTCCAGGCAATTGAGACCACCCTCCCAGTGAACTAGGCAGGAATGGAGAAGGGTGGAGAAGCCGGGAAGGGGGACCGAGGATCCTGGGAGCCTACAGTGCTCGCTCCCACAGCTAAGCCGCCACGGTGTGCGAGCGGCAGGTCCGGGACGCAGAGCATCCAGGGGTGAGTCCTAGAATTTAGGCCCCTGACGTACTGTGATTCTAACTGAAGATCTCTTAATTCTCAGGTTCCAGAAGCACCTTGCTGAAGCTCCAGGATCCCAGCCTAAGATCCCAGGCTTTGCAGAGTCCGTGACTCTAATCCTCTTTGCTCCACTTCCAGGCATCCCAGGGAGGAAGCACCCCCCAACAGGGCCTACAGCCCGAGGGGGTGACGGTGCCCCACAACCTACCCCCAAATTGAATCCATTGCCATCCCAGAGGGCGACCTGCCATGCTCACTGTCTCTCCCCCACCCGATCGGTGCCCATGGTGGTGCCTGACAAAGGGCAGAAACTCAATAAATCAATAAGCATCGGTACGATGAATGAACGGGTCGGCTGAGAGGCAGCGTGCTGGGAGCAAAGTGCAAAATACAGAAACCAAAGCGCAGAAGGTGGTGATGGAATGCCGATGGGTGGCTGACTTGGGCCTGAATTAGCAAAGTGGTTTCTGTTGCTGAAACCAGGAGTTTGCTGAGGAAGGAGGGGGAAGGGGGAAGACCACACAGAAGTAGTTAAATATTCCCCAACTTAACCAACCCCCATGTTTCTGCTGCCCCTTGGGCCAAACTGCAATGAAAGTGCTTAAAATTTAGCTTTCGTACTCTCTCTTTGATACCTGGGGGACATCTTGGTGGGGGGGGTCCATTTCAGAAACCGGGCTTGCCCCCCCCCCAAAGCCCCCTGGGGTCTGGCTTCATGCCTGCAGTACTCATCTTACACACTAGGTGGCAGTGCCCACCACCACTGCCACCAATACCACCATACCTGACTCAGCCACATCAGCAATGTCCACCCCTTGCTCTTGTGCCATGAAGCCCAGGATGGAAAAAATTGCGAAGCCAGACACAAAACTGGTACCACTGTTCAGGCATCCCAGCAGCATACAGTCCCTAAGTTACACATATGTCAGGGAGCAAGTTAATTCACAACACAAGGAATCCATGCTCCCTACTTCTCTTTGCTTTAAACTTCACCATTTCTAAAGTCCGCCAGGCCCGCCGGCGCGACACTTGCCTGTAGGAGTTGTACTTGTACTTGTTGTAGCTCCCCAGCGAGGTCATGGCTCCCAAGCAGATGGCATAGGAGAAGAAAATTTGGGTCCCAGCATCAATCCATACCTATGGGGGTGCGGAGGGCAGGGAGAGAGAGAGGGGACTGTTAGAGCTGGCTTCCTGGAGGAGGCAGCGTGGGTTCCTGGCCACCTGGCCATGGAGGGCTGCACCTCAAAGTGTGCAGACTCTCGAATGCAATTGGAGCGCCTGGAATCCAAGGTGCCTTTCCAGTGCTGTTTTGTGGGTTCAGAAAGTAAAAATCTGGCCCAGTGCCAGACACACGGTAAGCCTGCTACCATTACTGTCGTTGTTACTGTCTTGGTACCCTGAGTTGGAATAGGGAGGAATTCCCTAACGGATTATGTAGGCAAAGCTGCTCTCCAGAACCTTCATCGGGCAGGTCCTGATGGCCACAAAGCTGCCTTCTCAGCTGTCCCTTGATGCTGGCCACGCCCCCTCCCATCTAAGGACAGTGGGGAAGGAAACCTGAAGCAGCACAGGCCCTTGGAGGCAACTGAAGGCTGAGGATCCTGGGGACAAAAGATCCTTAAACGGGCCAATAAATCGCCAGGGTTTTCTCCAAGACCCTGCAGTCACGTGGCTGAGTGCCAGGTGGTAGACTTTCGATATCCGCCCATCAACCTTCCAAAAGGCCACCATCTCTGAATTCCATCCTTGGCCAAGGAAGCCAGCAGCTCTCCCAGGCCGACTCTTCCAGCCCCACGATCAGCCAGCCTCAGCTCAGCTGCTGAGGGCAGAGGCCAGGTCGGAGGAGGAAACTAGCTCTTAAAAAGACTTTTCGCTTACCTGGCTCAGCGCCTAAAGAAGACTCTATAATTGGCCGGTCTCAGGAGTGCTCAACATGAAAAGATACACACACAGCTGGAAAGGCCCACGGTGGCAGCCAACAAACCCGACACAGCCCAGTGGAAAAGTACCAGGGGCTGACAGCCCAGCTAGACTTGTGCACGGAGGAGCCACAGCAACTGTGCTGCCCCCTCAGCTGCCCCCGCACCCTGCCCTGCCCAGCCCTGGGCGGGGGGGAGGCCGGGCTGTCCCGCAGTACCTGTGGGTCCTCCAGGCGGCTGAGGTCGGGGTACAGGTAGAACTTGATGCCTGCGCCCGCGCCGGGCAGCGTCAGTCCACGGATCAGCAGCACCAGGAGCATAGCAAACGGGAATGTAGCCGTGAAGTAGACGACCTGCGAGGGATGACAGGGATTCAGGGGCCCCGTGGCAACACCTGCTGCTGTTACATTCAAGCATCCTCTCCAAGGCAGGGGCTCTGGAGCCGAGCTTGCTGTGTCACTTGCTGTGACCTTGGGCATGATGCTTAACTCTCTGGGCCTGTGGCCCTGTGTGTGAAATGGAGATAAGAGTAACTGAAGGCCCTCATCAAGGCATGAGGCGAGGAGCCGACGGGATGACCCTTGTAACACCGTCACACCAGTGCCTGGCACTTGGGTGCTCACGGAACGGGGCCTGTTATTGACATTGTGATTTTGCAGGAAGCTCATGGGAACTTCTGGAAGGAAATGAGGCCTCTCAACGTCCCTGAGCCAGGATGGGGAAGGCCCTCCACTTCTTGGGGCTGTGGGAGGCCCACGGCCTTCCCTGGGTCACGTAGCACGTCCCAGACAGGCCAAGGTCAATGCGAGGTGGGGACCAGGGATGACCCGGGCTGGGCCTTTCCAGCCCCTGGGCCTGCTCTGCTTTCTCTCCCTCCCTAGTCCTGAAAGCGCTGGTCTCCAAATACCCTGTGGCCTCAGTTCTTGCAGATGGATGTTCCCATCTTTTTCTTTAACACAAGAAGTTTCTAGGCAAGGTTCATGCCTGGGAGGAGCTTGACGGTGCCTGGCTAAACAGACGATGACATGCTGATGTTGCCAGCAGGGTGCTGGCTGAGCAAGGACTCCCCGGCACAAGCCCACTTCATGCCCACCACACCCCCAAAATTGGTGTGCTGGTGCCCTGCTGACGGAGGACAACTGAGGCTCGACGGGGTTCAAGGACATGCCCAGGTCATCTACAGAGCACAGGATCTGCACCCAGAGCCTGGGGCGGTAACCACTGTGCTCTGGGCAGAGGCATGGGGTGTTTTCACTTTGCCAGTGCAGAACATGCAGAAAGTTCCCAGTGGTCACCTGAAATGCTGAGACTGGCTCGCAGAGCCCAGGACTACCTCTGGGGGCCAGGGGACCAGGGAGAAACCACTGCACAGGACAACACGCCTGTTTTACAGGTGAGGAAACTGAGACCCAGAGAGCAAGATGAATGTGCCCGTGGTGTGTGGGGGGCAGTGCCAGGGCACTTCTGGGGCCCAGATAGGTAACAGACACCAACAGGGGGTGACAGAGCCCTGAACCTTGCCTAGCTGGCATAGGAACCCTCGCTGGAGCAGAATTCTCGGGTGGCCACCATCCCTTTGAGTAGGAACAACTAGAAAAGGGTTTTGGAAAAGGACAAGAAGGAAGCTCTCAGGGCCTGCCGGGCTCAGCTGCCCTCAGTGAATACCACCAAGCAGCATTTATTGAGCGCTTACTGTGTGCCTGGCGCCATTCCAAGGGCTGCACATCTATACTCACGTGGTCCTGCTCTAGCCCTTCAAGGTAGGTTTTATTACTATCCTCATTTTGAAGGCGAGGAGACTGAGGCCCAGAGAGAGTCCGTGGCTTTCCCAGGGTCACACAGCACCTAAGCAGAAGCGCACAGATGCCCCCAGAGCCTGCCTCCAGATGACAGGAGCAGGGCAGTTTACTCAAGCCTCTCAACAACCCGAGGGAGGGGGCTCGGGTCACAATCAGTCAGTGACTGTCTTGCTGCGCAACCTTGAGCAAGTTACTGCCCCTCCCTGGACTTCACTTCCCCACCTGTGAAGCGGGGGGCTCAGATCCGACGAGCTCTGAGGCTCCCTCCAGCTCTGCCACTCCTGGGGGACAGGGTGGAGTGGCCCAGAGGGTCAGCTGGGGGCTGTCCAGACTGGGGCTCGTATCGGCCTCTGCCACCTCCCAGCGGGGTGGCTTGGCCTCAGCTTCCAACCGTAGGAGGCAAACGAGAGCGGCCCCCGCACGCCCCCCGGCACACAACGAGTCCTCCAGAGACCCCAGCAGTGAGGACCCTCCCGAGGGTCCCACTGGCTACGCGGGTAGGCCTTCCTCCCGCCTCTGCGCACCCTCCCTGGACACCCTCCCCCCTTCTGGGCCTCAGTCTCCCCAGCCACCCTCACCTTCTCCTCCCCAGGCTGAGAACCTCACAGTTTCCCGAGGACAAGAGTCAGACGATGTGGAGGGTGGGGTGGGTCAGGAAGCCACAGAAGGGGTGAATGAAGAGCCCAGCGAGCCCCCAGGCTGCTCCTCCCTTCCTGCGGACAGGGCCCCCCACCAGTCCCCACCTCTGGGCCCTCTGGGCCACACCCGGGCTGCTGAACAATGGCTGCTGACAGCAGGCCGGCCCCAGAGGGCTGCCACTTCAAAGCCGGCTGGGCCCCGCTGGGCTGGGCGGGCAACCAGACTGTGGCCAGAGGGCTTTGTGTCAGGGACACAGGACACCACCCAGGGATGGGGGTGGCTTCCCTCATTTCCACATATTTAATTTATTTAACAAATACTTATGTAGCGCTTACCATGTGCCAGGCGCTATGCTAAGAGCTTTATGTGCACTAACTCATTTAATCCTCACAACAACTTCAAGAGGTAGGTATTATTATTAACTGCATTTTCTAAATGAGGAAACTGAGGTCCAGAGAGGTGATGGACCTGCCTGGGATCACAGAGCTAGCAGGTGGCAGAGGTGGGACTTGATCTAGGCCAGCTGGCTCCCGGGTCCTGTGTCTTTTGTCTGTGTGTGTGTGTGTGTTACTGTCGTTCCTCCTCAAATCCCGAGTAGGACAGCCCTGCCTGGTCACAGCCCCTCCTGGTCACACCACCTCAGCCACCTCTTTGGAAAGCCACTCTTGTTTTGGAGAATTTGCCACTCTGAGGATGAGCCCCTGAGAGCCATTCTCTCAATCTTCCCATGACTCCCCCGGGGACCCTCACGGGAAAGGCTGGTGCCAGCGCCTCCGTGGGCCTCTGGCAGTGGCCCCGTGGGCCTTGCCACGGGATGTGGTATTTTTCCACTCCTGCTGGTGAAACTCCGTGGCTCCTCTGAGCCCTTAACCCAAAAGTGCTGTGGCCTAATTGCCCTGGAAACTTGCAAGTCAACTCTTCCTCATTCCCTAGGGACAGCCAGAGGCGGGAGGCAGCTGGGCTGGTCTGGGCAGCAGGGGTCATTCATCCCAGAGACGGTTGCTCCGAGAGGTGGGGCTGTGGGTCTGTGCCCAGCGCCCGGGAAGGCCCTAAGGTCCTCAAAGCACCCCTGCGTGTGTGTGCAGAGGGCATCGCTAACTCACTTCACACAAGGGGAAACCGAGGCTCAGAGAGGAAAAGGGACTTGCCCAAAGTCACGCGGCTTGTGGGAGCAGAGCTGAGATCCAGACCAAGTCTGGCTCTGGCTGCCACCTCTGCTCTGTTCCTAAGCCCTGGATGAGAAGAGGTGCCCTGGAGGCTGGCGGTGGGGAGGCCCTGCCTCGGGACACGTCTGCGCTCAGCAGGGACCGGACTCCCGCTCTGGGTCCACAGGGCCGTCCTTCCTGTGTGAGGGTCTGGGCTTCTGTCACCTTCCTGGACCTCACATGTGGTGAGAGCAGGGACCTGCCTGCCTCATGCCCTACTGCATCATCAGGCTAACACAGGGATGAGGGCAGAGAGCAGGGTACGGTTAGGAGGGGAAGAGCATAGGGCACCAAGGACGGGTGCTGGGCTGTCCAGGTTCAAATCCCAACTTGGCCACCAATGAGCTGTGTGACCTTGGGCAAGTTAATTAACCTCTCTGGACCTCAGTTTCCCCACTATAAGATGAGACTAACAACCGCATGTACCACAGAACATTATGAGAATTAAATGAGCCAATAAACAGCACTAAGAACAGTGCCTGGCAGACACGTGCTACAGTGTTTGCTGCCATGATCGCTCTTTCTTGAATGAGTTAAGCTGCAACATATTCTGGGCCAAGTTTCAGATCTTTGGAGTGCTGAAAATTAGAAAAAAGGGAACTGAGATTCAGAGAGGCAAAGTGACTTGAAGTCGGGTCCTGAGCCTCCCAGACCCGGGCCTGCCCTCCATCCCCCTGCTGGAGCAGTGTCAGCTACGGGAGCAGGGCATGGCCGGGAGAGGCTCAGCCCCCACGGTGGCCGTGAACCTGGTCTGTGGCCAGGGCTGGAAGCCACCGCCAGCCGCAGTCGCGCTCGAGGAAGTCCACAGAGCCTGTGTTTGTCTTGGCTTCTCTGGGCTGGCCCAGGCCCTGCTATTGTTCTGGGAACCACGCCCGCCCCTCAGGGGCCTGGAGCTGCCTGAGGAGGAGGTTGTCTCTAGGGTGGGGCAGGGGGACCTCTGGTGAGTCACGTCTTCACCGCCACAGTCACAGCCTGGCACCTCTACTTGCTTTGATTCTCTTCTCCTGGCCACTCCACTGTGTCTCAAACATTGCTCACTGTCCCTGGTAGACATCAGCCTCCTCCATCAGACTGAGGGCTCTGCAAGGGTCTGGGTCACATGCACCTCAGGGCCTTTGCACCAGTAGTTCTCTCTCCCTGGAATTTTTTTTCTCCTCCAGATATCCACATGGCTCACCCCCTCACTTCCTTCAGATCTCTGCCCTGCAGTCAGCTCGGTGAGCCTTGCCTGGCCACCCTATTGAAAACTGTACCCCACCACTCCCTATCCTCCTTCACCCGTTATTCTCCCCCACAGCTCCTATACGAGCTCCATAGCTCACCATCTGCCTCCTGTACATTCTACATTCACCTTGTTACAACCAACTTTTCAGCTCCTGGACCACAGGGAACTCCGTCTGTTCTGCTGGCCCCTGCACGTGCCCCGGCTCCATTCCTACAACAGCACCCGGCAGACAGGAGAGGCTCAGAACACATGAGCGCGTAAGTGAGTGACTACGGCTCCAGCCATGCGCAGGACCAGTACTGCAGAAACTTCCTGATAGATTCCCCTCCCCGTGGGGATTGGAGGCAGCAGGGAGGGACAGGCGTCCACGGCACAGTCTGTGCCAAGCACTGCACTGGGGGCCCAGCACACCTGGTTGTGAGGCCCACCACCACCCATTTTCCAGATGAGCAAACTGAGGCTCAGAGGTGAGGGAGTGACCTCAGACAAGTCCCTTAACCCCTCCCAGCTCAGTGCCCTCATGGTGTAAGGAAAGGTAATGAACCGGTTTGCTCACTCACAAGCTGGAGGAGGAAAGGGGATAACACAGGTGAAGGAGGGCTGCACGGAGTGGCCAGAAGGACCTACGCTCCCTCTTCCCGCCCACCCCCGTGGGGGCGAGGTTAGCTGGGGGCTGTGGAAGCCTCTGAAGCCTGGCCTGCTTCCTTTCCAGACTGGGTTTTAGGATCGCAAGGTGGCTCTTTCCTGAGAAACAGGCAGAGGGCACGGGGGGTGCAGGCCCCACTCCGGGATGGTTCCCCATCTGCCTCTGCCACCCTGGGGTCCCAGACCTGGCCAAGCAGGTGCCTGCAGCGACTCACAATTTCGCCAAGGGGCTCTTCATCCGGGAGAACATGGTCCTTAGTTCTATACTCAAGCCTGTGGCCAGTGCTGCAAAGGCCCCTTTTCCAAACGACTCCACCCACTGCCCCTTGCTGGACCTCAAAGGCCACCTTGACACACTCTTTTGACCCTTGGGGGCTCTTTGATCTTAAAGAGATTTTCCCCCTATCAAGATGCAAATGACAGGAGGCAACGACAGACAGGAACATGCAAAGACGGGTCACCTCCACAGCTTACTGCCATGGGGTCAGGCTCACACCCCTCACCAGACCCTCTGCACTGACCTTCGTCATCAGAATGACCACGATACCAGCCAGTGTCAGTTATCAGGTAAATGTTCGCCTCTAACTGTTCACAGACACTAGTTAGTTACAGGCTAACATTTTCCTTATTGCCAATATATCAGTTACACCCAACACCTTAATTATAAGCTAACATTTTAATTATCAGCTACTACCTTTGTTAATAGCTAACATCCTAGCCTTCTTGTAACATATTAATCAGAGCAAATATTTCAGTTATGGCTAACCCTTTGGTTAACAACTAACACCTTGGTTATGAGCGAATGACTTCCTCAGTGAAAGCTTTTCTTAATAACCAACATCCTAATTACCAGCTGAAATGTCAGCTGTAAGATAATTCAGTTAATCTGACATAGCTGCAAAAATCCACGTCCCCCTCTCAAAGCTCCCTGTGCGTGTGGAGTCTCTGGGGAGACGGCTCAAACGCAGATGCTGACTCTGCAGGCTGTGGCCGGCCCGCGGGTCTGCGTTTCTAACCAGCTCCCAGGGGACGCCGAGGCTGCTGGTCAGAGCACACTCAGCAAAGCGGGTAGTTAACAACACGGTTGCTGGCTAACCTTGCTCCCAGCTGCTTCATCAGTTACAACCTCACATCAGTTATCTGCTAACATCTGCACTACTGCCAACTCCTGCTCTGGGAACCAGTGGCCTGCGGGAGTTTCTGCAGGCTCCAGAGAGCCAACTGTTCGATTTTCAGGAATTTTGTGAACCCGCTGTTAAATCATCAGTAACCTGGAATCAGTCATGGTGGGAGTATGCAGACCACGAAACAGGCAAATGCTACAACCTAGGGCTTTAGTTGCTCCTGGAGGACTGGTCCATCGGCACACTCTCCCGCCCAGGTTGGGGCCAGTTTCCAGCAGGAAGACCTGTGGGGGCGGGCGAGTCTCTGCTGAGGACCAACCTCCACTAGGCTGGGGAAGGACAGAAGCACAACTCACTTTCCCCGTGGACTTGACGCCCTTCCAGATGCAGAAGAAACAGATGAGCCAGACGAAGAGAAGGCAGAGAGCAAGGTCCCACTTCAGAGAGCCCGGGTGGTCGATTCCAGAGGACAAGCTGAGCACGTTGCGCCTTAAGTAAACAGAGCCGCAAGTCAGTCGGGGCCCAGCCCTGGAGCAGAGGGAGCCGAGGCCTGGACCCCAACGGGCTGGGGTTCAAGTCCTGGCTCAGGTGTGCACAAGTCACCTCACCTCTCCGAGCTCTAGAATCCCCATTGGTCTTGGGAAACAGTTAACACACGTGTCACAGAGTTGTGGGGAGGTCAACAAGGGCATGGATTCAGACTCCTAAGTCAGGCAAACCTGGGTTCAACCCAGCCTGGCCTGGTGGAAGCCTCAGTTTCCTCATCTGTAAAATGGGTACTGATTCCCAGGTGATGGATTCTCAGCATACCCTCCAGTGCCCACGGTGAGCCCAACACTGGTTCACACTCAGCTCCACCCCATAACCACTGACTTTGGGCTCATTACCCAGCCTCCCCGACCTCAGCCTCCTCATCCATGAAGTGGGAATAACTACCCTCCCTCAGTGTTCTCTGGCCCATCCCTCTTTTATTTTATCCACCCCTGTTTCTCACCTGGACCTCTCACTAAACTGTAAGCCTCAGAGGGCACAGTGTCTGCTCTGTCTGTGGCTGTAGAACACCCACCCACCCCTTCACAGGGATGTGGCTGAAGAAAAGCCACATGAAATACGAACTACAGGGCGGGTCTGGGCTGCAGCGGCACTCGACAAGCCTTAGCAGTTGTCCCTGTCGTGGCGTTGAGACACCAGAGCAGCGCTGGTTTCTTCTCCCTCGCCCCGCCAGGTTGTGAAGGTCAGAGGGCGGTGGGTAGATGGCATGAAGGACAATCAGGGCGACCGCCCACCTGTCCTGCCTCACACAGCAGAGCCCGGGGCCGTCCTGCCCGGCGGAAGAGGCACACGAGCACTCCCCACAGACACGTCCCCGAGGGGAGATGCCACCTGAAGCCAGGGCAGCACAGGGTGCCGACGGCCGAGGACATCACGAAACACAATGCCCAGAAACTGTCCCCATTGTCCCAGAGCTTCGACTGCTACGACAGTGACCGAGGACACCAGGCCGAGCACAAGGACATTGCCCTGTCCACCGTCCACCAAGGTTACCTGCCCCCCGAAGTTACAGGAGGCGGGGGCTCGTGCTCCCCCGAAAGAAGCTGGTTTCCTTCTAACCACAGTCAGCTCCCTGTCTGAAGGCCACAGTCTTGAGCGGGAGAGGCAGAGAGGGGACGGTGACTTTGTGCCTCAGGTTCCACGTCTCTAAAACACGAATCACAGCTCCTGCCCTGGATACTGCCCGGGAAAACCACCCCAGTTCAGCCAGTCTCGGGGATGACCCCACAGTCAGGGCTCCGGCTCTTGGGATGCCCACTGGGCCAGGACACTGCCGTGGCTTTTCCTTTTTTTCAGAGAAGCCTCAACAGGAGAACCCTGAATGAATCCAAGATTCCCACCTCAACTGGCATTCCTGCAAGGCCTTGCTGAGGTTCACTCCTGTGCTCCCAGCACCTAGAATAGCATGTGGGTCACAGCAGGCCCTCAATAAATACTTGCTGAGTGAATGAATGAAAGGACTCAACGGGGGTGAACGGTAGGCTCGCATGTCACTGTGGACCAATTCATAAACTATTTCCACTCACAAACCTTAAGGAGGGGCAGCTTCCCCTTGTCCTTTCATTGCGACATCAACGGGCTCCACCCTGGCACCTAGGACAGGGTGTGCTCAGGATAACATCAACGAGGGCTTTTCAATTCATGTCATCTGATCCAAGGACTAGAGGTCATTTGGCCCATCTTACAGATGGGGAAAACCAAGGCTTGGAGGATCTAATTGCCCACAGACACACAGAGCTGCCACCCTACACCCAGGCCTGTCTGACTCCAAAAGCCAGTGCTCTCTCGACTCTAGCACACTGCCCCTCTGATTAACAGAGTAACTGAAGCCTAAATTTTAAAAAGAATCTGGGGTCACCTGGAGCCTTGGGGCAAGGGGGCATCCCCACGAGCCAGCCATCAGCCAAGCATATCCTGCCTGGGGCCCTGCCAAGCCCACGCATCTGCAGCTGCAGCAGCTTTAGAACAGAAAGCCCTTCCCCGTGCAGCCTCCAGAGCTCGGCGCCTTCGGTGAAGGCCCGGGGCACGCTGGGCAGCGGCCAAGGCTTCCCCAGGAATGGGCAGCGTTGGCGGGAGCACTTCTGCACTGCCACCTTTATACCCTCTCCACTGCCACGCACACCCTCCTCGTGCTTCCGGAGCAGCCTTCCCTGATGCTCCACAGACTGTAGAGTCCCCATCTGTCCTCTCACACTGGATGCCACCCTCGGGTGAAGGGTCTGTCTTGCCTACCAGACTCTAGACATCCAAGGACAAGGATCTCACAGGCAGGCACACAGTAGGCGCTAGGCTAACGCTGAGGAGGAGCCCAGTCATAAGATGGCCTTTTCTTCTCTCCTTAAGGGCAAGTTGGCCGAGAAGCTTAAACCCCAGAGCCCAGAGTCTGACCACACTGAGCCCGCAGTCAGCTCACTGACACCCTTTCTGCCTCCTCTCACCACCGTGCTGGGCAAACCAGCGGTGCCCACTCTGGGCAGGAGGCTGCCGCGCTGGCTTGCTCTGGCAGCTGACCAGAGGCACGTGACCAAAGGCACGTTTCTGTGGCCCAGCAATTCCATTCCTGAGACCCTCTCCTACAATTACATTTGCACGTGTTGTCAAAGATGGGGTCCGGCCCGAGCTATTCATCACAGCGCTGTAAGTAGGAGCACAAGACTGGAAACCACCCAAATGGCCGTGAACAGGGGCCCAGCAGGCACAGAGAAGACACACGGCCGAACGCTACGCAGCCCGTAAGACAGCAGGAAGGCTCCCTGTGCGCTGATAAGCAGCTATTTCCTGAAGAAGACATAAATGAACAAAGCGAGGTGAAGCACTGTGTGTGGCACGCTCCCTCTCGTGTACAGAGGGAGGGGGATGCGCATTTGGGCTTGAGTACGCGCACACTATTTCTGGCAGGACACACAAGATGCCAGCTGCAGTCGCTGTCTGCAGGGTGGTGGGGATGTGGGGAGGGGGACTCACTTGGCGTTGAACGTATTTTTTTACTATTCAAATGTTTTTAATGTGCCTATATCACCTTTATAAAAATTCTTTTAAATTCTTAAAAATGTTTACAATGGGCCACGCAGACATTCTAGAAATAGAATGAACGTCTCATCAATCAAGGGCTGTCATAACAGAGCCCAACGTGGGTTCCAGGCCAAAGTGACCGATACCCTTTCCAACGATATCTCAGGGGTAGCCGTGGACGCTGGAGAGCGTGTGGGGCCGTCTGAATTCCTTTTTGAAGGGGCCCCACAAGGCCCCTCCCTGCCAGACTCTCATGGCCTCAGCCACAAAGCAGCAGCCATGATCTGTGGGCCTTCCCCGTGTGGTGCGTGGGAGTGCTCAGTAAACTGTAGGGTGCGGTGCCCCAGAGGGACTATCATGGTGCACTGCCCCTCACTGGTGCCTCCTAGTCACCCCAGGAGACTGCACAAGTTACCCCAAATCTGGCCACATCTCACCTACACTGCGCCCACCCCTGTCCGGGCCCTGTGGCTCCCCAGGGCTATTTCAGCCGCCTCCTCACTGGCGTTCCTGGCTCCACTCACCCCCTACCCAGTCTGTTCTCAGCAGGAGAGAATCTATCAATACCCAAGTCAGGTCATGCCCCTCCTCTGTTCCACATCTTCCCATGGCTCCCACCTACCTGGCCAAAGAGGCCCTCCCGACCTGCCCCATTCCTTTTTTGCCTCCCTGAACAGGATGACCAATACTCTATTATTCAGACCCAGACATCTTAAAGGGTGAGGGTGGTGCCTATTAATAATGGTGCTGGGACCACAGGTGTGGTAAACCAGACGTGTCCAGGACAAGCTGTATGGACGGTGGTCCCATCTCAAACCCCTTCCCCCATAAGGCCCCTTCACTTCGTCCTTTAGCCACACTGGCTTCTGGTATGTTCCCTGAATAGGTCGAGCATGCTCCTGCCTCAGAACCTTTAAACCCGCTGTTCCCTTGGCCACTCGTCACGTGACATGCCACCCCCACCCTTTCAGATCTCTGTTCAAATGTCACTTCACCAGGGCAGCCCTTCCTGGCCACCCTCCGTAAAAAGCAGCCCTGGTCACTCTCCTTCCCCTGCCCTGGCTTTATTTTTCATCACTTATCATTGCTTTTATATTACAATTTTATTTGTGTTACCTGCTTAATGTCTGTCTGTCTTACTAGAATGCCGTCTCCATGCAGGCAGGGCCTGTGTCTGTCCTGTTCACTGTTGGATCCAGAACGGGGCCTGGCATACAGTAGGTGTTCAACAGACAGCAGTTGAGTAAATTAATTAGACTCATTTGGTGGATGAGGAAGCAGGCTCAGAGGGGTTCAGGAATTCACCTCAAATTACCCAGATAAAAATCAACCCCGGTCCTAGTTCCTTTGTTCTGATGGCACCCTGGGGACCAGCCACTTGTGTGCCGGGTCCTACGCTGCCCTTCGCGAGGGCCCCAGCACCCCAGGCTTCCCTGTATCCCTCATATAGAGAGAGGAGACCCAGAGGTGAGCTGCATTCTTGTCCAAGAATAGTAATGATTCATTCCAGGGTGGGATCCAAAAAAGAATCGCCTGGACGTCTGTTTTGAGTCGCCTGCCCCGCTGCCGTCCAGCCGGCACTCAGAGATGTAAATACGTCCTCCGAGTGGGCCAAATCGTTTCCTTTTGACTGCCGGCCAGCCATTTATTGGCGATGGCTCTTCCCTGGAGACTGGCGGAGGCAACAATTATAAAAGAGCCCGTCTGCCCCGAGCATGGGGCCGCCCCGGCTCTCTCCACCGCCTCCCCCTTCCGACAGCTGCAGGGGAAGATTGGCTGAGCAGGGCTTGTTTGCAAATATGACTCATTTCTTTGATTCTAATAAAGCCTAATGATACGTGCCGAGCTCCCAGGGGCTCTGGGAGAAATGGAGGAAGGCATGGCTCCAGCCTGATGGAGGGCATTTGGCCAGATCTGGCCCCACCTGTCTTCCAGGGCCAGGGGTGAAGCAAGACCCTCGGGACAGAGGTGACCCCAGAACAGGGACGAATGGGATGAGGCGGACCGGGGGCAGAAGCTCTGCTTCCCCATCACAGAGTGATTCAGAGCTAAATTATAAAGCCAGTGTGAAATGACTGTCCCTGGGGCCCAGGTGGCTTTCACAGGGATCTGGAAAAGGGTGTCTCACGGGTTCCTGCTGAGAATGGAGCTTTAGCCTTGCAGATGGGGTGGGCATGGGAGGTCCAGGCCAAGAGAAGACCCCACACGTAACCTGAGAGTGGTCGCACACACAGAGTACAATGTTACCTGTGACTGTGGACTTGCCCTGGACTTACGGCTGGTGGGGACACAGACAGTGGAGGTGGCACCCAGTGTCAGAGGTCAGGGCTGCAAACTCTGCTACGTCTAGCTGCCTATGCAACCTTGGGCAAGTCACTTAACCTCTTTGGTCCTCAGTGTCCTACTGAAAGTCACGCCCAGAGGCCCTGTGCCCAGCACATCATTCGTTTTAGCTCTTTCACACTGCAGCCAGCTGTGAGGAGTCGGGACCACACTCTCTCCAGGTCTGAGAGGTGAGGTGACTGCCCCAAGGCCATCAGCTGGACTCGTGGGAGCCAGAGTCAGTCTCCCCGCCCTAGGGGACAGGAGCATAACCCACTGCTCTCTGCCTCCTCTCGTAAAACTGGAGAGGGGAAGGGCCTGGCAGGGATGTTCCATAAGGCCCTTCCCCGTCATGGGCCAGGAAGAAGTCTTCGCTCCCCCTGGAGCTTTGTCTCCCAGGGAGCGCTGACCCACATCTGCAAGTAGAAGAGGTGATGGGAAACAACGCGGGGCCGGGCTCTGGCCCGAGAGGCATGGAGACCAGCCTCTGAGAGGCTCCTCACGGCTCTGCAGCCCAACCAGGCACCCGCCAGTGACACCTCCGTAACATCCTAGCGAGCCTCTCTCAGTGGAAACCCTGGAGCAAGTCCCTGCGGGGCTGCTGGCTATTTTCAGGGGAAATTATGTAAGCTAAGTTTCACCCCAAAGGAAACCCAAACCCACTGATGGCTGAGCCCTCTGAGGCCCTCTATACAGTCAGTGCTTAATACATGTCCCAGCCTCTCCCACCAGCGTGTTCCTTGAACAATGTCCAGAAAACAAACTCAATCACATCACTCCCCTTCTCTATGCCTTCTATGGTTCCCCCTCCTAGAGAACAAAGCACAAACTTATCAGCCTGACATTTGAGGCCTCAATCCTTCTCCGCGGCCCCATGTGTCCTGTGCTCTAGCCAAACCAACAACTAACTTGCTGTTTCCAAATGCTCACGTGCTTTCAGAATGCTATGCCTCTGCAGGGGCTGTTCCATCTGCTGAGAATGTCTTTTCTCTCTCCTTTTCAGCCTAGTGAGCACCTACACATCCCTCAAAGCCCAGCTCATATGGCCCCTCCATTTGCAGATGGGAAGAGAGGCCAGAGAGGGGTACTGACTTGCTGCTCCAGGCTACACAGCCAAGTGGATGCAGACAAGGAATGAACAAGCAGCAGCAGCAGCACTCAGTGAGCACGCACTCACTGGGCTGAAAGGCTTAATCGTCTGGCTGGGTGAGGTCACAGTAAGGGAAAAGCCACGAGAGGGTTCTGAGGTGAGAAATGACATGTTGGGATTCATACCTGACTGCAGAGATGCAAGCCAAGGCAGGGAGAGCAGTGAAAGGCCAGGGCTGGGGTCTGGGAAACTGATGCTGGGGTCCTACGGGGTAGGGGGGGTACAGTGCAAGTACGGAGGGTGGTCAACTCTGGATATACTTGAGAGAGAGAGCCAAAAGGACCTGTGGACTGCATGTGGGATTTGGGGTAGAAAGGAGTTGGGATGATTCCTAGATGTTGTCCCTATTTAAAGGGATGCAAAGATGAAATGAAAAGACAGGGGCAGGTCCCTGGCACAACGCTTATGGGAGTCCATTATTCCACATTAGTTCTCTCTCCTTTCCCCTCTTTCATGCCCAAGAGAAGGGAAGCCTCCAGAAGGCAGGAGGTGGCCCCTTCTCACCATGGTGCCTGGCTCAGTGCTGCACTGAGCCGAAGCCCCTGGCCTAGCTCGCTGGCCTCGGCCTCTCTGCTCACACACATGTGGCAGGCCTGGTCTTCTCGCCTATGCCTGCTTTCCAGGCTCCTCCTCTGGGACCCCAGTCCTCCCCAGGGTTCTAGAAAGAGATTATTTGTGGGTGTTTGGATGGACTCACAAAGCTCTGCTAGAAGCTAGGGGAAGGGAGTGTGAAGGCTAGGGTGGGAGGTGAGCATCAGGCCAGCGGCCAGCACTCTCTGGACTGAGCGGGTCCATCTGGATCGTGTGGGGCTTGGGAAGGTGCCGCAGGACCAGGACATTTCTGAAGATAAACACTGTCTTAATGTCTCCCAGGCCAGGAAAGGGAGCTGGGGCACTCAGAATGGGGGTTCTGGAAGGCAGGGCCCTAGAACCCCCCAGGAGACCCCTGTCTGGGGGACAGGGAGGGGAGAAGGCACGGGGGAGGACTGAACACCCTGAGGACCTCATCGCTCACCTGAGCTCCTTCTCAAGAGCCCTCGGCCCTCAGAGAGCAGGGAGACGAGCAAAGAGGACAGCCCCTCTGCAACAGGGGGGCCACATGGGCACTTGAGAAGGGGCCGTTCTTAGTCCCCCTGAAGGTGACGTCACTCGAGTTCCAAATGCCTCTGGAGGCAGCTTTATCCACTATGAGGACATTAAATAAATAACGGCCCCCACCTATCCAGCAGGTTCTCAGGGCTGGCCATGCATGGTCTTGTTCAATGCGGGCGGCCCTCCAACCCTGGGAGAACAGCTCTGAAGTCCAGGCGAGGATGCCGAGGCCCAGAGAGGAGAAGCCACCTGCCTGAGCTAGAAGTGGCAGTGAGGGTTCGAATCCGGGCAGCCAAGCCATGCCTGAGGCAACGGGGCCCCAGCCGGCGCCCGCGTGGCTGGCTGAGTGCCAGCATCCTGGGTGGGGTGGGCCCTGGGCGGTCAGGCTGTGCCAGCAACAGCAGAGCACACACAGGGCTGTGGTCTCGGGCTCCATTCACGTGAAGAATGAAGTGCCTGCGTTTCTTTGTCTGTAGACTCAGCTCCCCAGAGGGGGAGGCTGAGTGGGGATGAACACGCTTGTAATGCCCTCTTTGTCTGCGAGTGGAAAATACGTACACAAGCCCCAGGGATCCGTGAGCATACATGGAAGGCCCGCTCGTCGTGATGGAGACACGGACCACCCAAGCGAGGGCCGACTGACCCTTGCTTGCCTACGATTTCCCAGCCCCGGCAACTCCCTCTTCTGTGGGCCTGTTCCTGGGCCAGGTTCTTGGAGGTGCGGGACACCCTGGAAACAGCAAAGCCACACACAAAAGAGGGGGGTATCATCTCACGATGACAAGGGACCACCCCCTTCCTTAACACTGTCCCTGCCCTGGCTCTCAGCCTCCATGCAAGGCCTTCCTCGGTTATTTCCAGATTGAGGGGGCCACACCCAAGTGCTGAGCCCCACATCTAACAGCTCATGAAGAGAAGGGAAAGTGATGCATTAATATATTTTTGATCAGCCTCCAAGCCAAGATTTGTTAGACTGGTGTGTTAGAAGGACTTCCCCGTATGTCAGCTAAGAGTTCCCCGGACTTCAGGCCTCCACATTCTGCCTTTCTGATGTTTGTCTTCTGTATATACTCCTGCACTTATTGACTATATTGTGGTAAAGGGTAAAAATGCCCATAATTCTCCACTCTTCCCATAAAGACACAGAGCCTATTTCCCCACCTCTTGAATCTAGGTTTGTCTTGTGGCTTTCTTTGGCCAATCGGACATTAACAAAAATGATGCAAGCAGAGGCCTGAAAAGTGCTCCTGCACTCGGGTGTTTCCATTTCTTGTTTTTGGAATGCTGAGCCACCTCTGAGCAAGCCCAGGCCAGGCTGCAGGGTGATGAGACCACATGGACCCGCTGCCCCTGGCACCCCAGCCAATAGCCAGCCAATCCCCAGAAGAGCTACCCCAGGAGGGAGCCCAGCAAAGACCAGAAGAACTGCACAGCCAAGTGCAGCCCAAACTGCCAATCAGCAGAACCATGAGCCAAATCAACGGGTGTTGTTTAAAGTCTGGGGTAGTTGTTACACAGCAACAGCTAATTGATACATATTTTTCACTCTACTCACCCTTTTGCTTGAGTAACTACTTCAGCTTCATATATGCATTCTTTTCTGTGCAATAACAGGTTTGATTTTTTCTAAATTTTTTTTAGAATATTATTTTTTTTTTCTAAAAATACATCATTTTCAGATAACATAAGTACATACACCTGCTTTCGGGAAACAGTCCCTACAGAGATTCCATGGGTATAGGGATGATTCATTCCCCTCATTTGACAGTGAAAGAAACTGAGGCTCAGAAACGGGCAGTGACTTGCTGAAGGTCAAACAGCCAATAAAATGGCAGAACTGGGATCTGATGAGACCAAAGGCATGGATTCATCTCCAAATCTGTACCCTCCTTCCACCCACCCCAAGACAGTGACTCCCACTTCGCCAGGGAGAAGATGAGGGAGTGGGCTGTCCTCTACGCCCCCACCCCTACCCTCCCCTCCTTCCTTTGGTGAGGCTGGCCTTACTCCCAGAACTCAGTGACAGGGGAGGTGAAGTTGCTGGTGTTGAGAGTGTCCCACAGGCTCTTGTTCTTGCGCAAAGTGTCTTCCATGCACTGGGGCGTGTTCCAGCTGTGGTTGCAGTGCGCCCAGGGCAGCTCCGACTGGAAGGACTGGAACAGGTAATATATGGCCCAGGCCAGGATGACGATGTAGTATATATTCAGAAGGGACACGATCACAATGGAGGCATAGCCGATGCCTGCAGGTATGAGCAAGCAAGATGAGCATCAGGAGGGAGGCCAGCCCCACCATGGCCACATACTCAACTGTAAGGCCCTGGCATCCCTAGGCCTGGGGCCAGAAGGGACCCTTCAATAATGACCAGCAAATAGTTGTAGGATGAATGGATGATTGGATGGATGGAGAGGTGAAAGAATGGATGGTTAGATAAATGGGATAGTTGGATGAATCAAAGGATGTACAGAAGGGGGACAGATCAATGAATGGATGGTTAGATGCATGAATGGTTGGTGGATGGATGAACAGATGGATGGTTGGTTGGATGGATGATTAGATGGACTGATAGATAGCTGAAGGGATGGATGTTGGATTGATGGACGGATATTTGATTTGTTAGATGGATGTATGGATGGTGGTTGGCTGGAAGGTTAGGTAGATTAATGGATGGATGAATGAGTGCATGGGTAGATGGATGGATGGATAGTCTAACTACTGACTAGTTTAATGGAAGAAAGGATTAACGAATCGATAGATTTATATGGATGACTGAATGAACAGACACACATGTCCTCCCATCCCTGCCAATTATAATCATAACAGTATTATCTTATGAGTGCATACTAGGCACTAGGCATAGGACTAAATCTTATAATAATAATAAAGCTACCATTAATTTGGGGCTTACTATGTGTACAAAGCAACTTTACACAGCTATGTCATTTTCTCTTCATAGCAACCCTATGGTGTAAGCATATTATTTCCATTTTATGGATGAGGAAATTGAGGCACAAAGAGATTAAGTAACTTTCTCAAAGTCACAAGAGTTAGCAAGAAGAGGAAGTGAGACTTGAACCCAGACAAAAGGCCTCCTGAATCTGAGCGCTTATCTCCTGCACTATACTGCTGAGCAGCTGCGAGCTCATCTATCCTTCCACAACCCAGAGAGGTGGGAACAGCTAGTACTTGTTGAGCAGTACTGTGAGCAGCAGCATCACATGTACAATGTACTGGCTGCTACCCTGGGTCAGCCACAGTGCCAAGTGACTAGTGTGTGGCTCCAATGTACCTGGCAAACAGTAGGTACTCTATAACAACTGGTGAATCGATGAACACCAGGCCCGGGTGACCTTTGTCCCATACTCACCAGAGAACAAGGGGCAGATCTTTCCCCAGCAGGTGATGCCCCCTTCAGAGGTGTACTGGCCTATGATTACCTCCAGGAAAAACACAGGCAGGCCGCCCCCAAACAGGAAAATAAAGTATGGTATGAGAAATGCACCTGTGGAGAGCAGAGTGGGGTGAGGGTCAGGCTGCGGCCGGCAAGGGGCGAGGCTAAGGGTGCTCACTCCCAACCCTCCCAGCCAGTGGAATCCCAGAGAGGGAGTGAGGGATGCAGGGGGTAACGGCTGAAAATTCTCTGGTCCCTGCCCACCTGTCCAGCTGGCATCACCTTCCAGTGTGCCCTCTCACCTTCTTCAAATCTACCAGGTGCTTTAAGCCTCCAAGCCTTTGCTTAAGCTGTGCCAACTGCCTGCCTGCCTTCCTTCCCCACATCTGTCCATCTGAATAAGGACTGCTCAGCCCTTAAGGCCCATCTCCAGGATGACCTCCTCATTGATGCCTTTATTTGCCCTTCCCCAGGCCCGCCCAGGGCAGGAAGTGGAGAAGAACTAGCTGGGAAGGGTGCAGTGATGAGAAGCAAGAGGTGGGCATCTCCACCCGGGGGTGGGAGCCAGGGGAGGAGCGAGGGACGAAGAGTCAGGGCACGGGTCCTACCTGGTGTCCACTAATGGCTTCAGCGGGTCCATAAACCCTTTGAAACTGTGGGCAACTTGGGTCTATGTGTGTGTGCTTTGTTCTGGGGAGCGTCTAGGGCACTCATCAGAGTCCCAAAGGCGCCTGAGACCTACAAAAGGCTAAGAAACCAGGCTCTAAGGCAGAAAGTCCTCAAAAGTGGTTCTCCTAATGCGGGCGGCATGTAGCAGGCCCGTCTCTGCCGACAGATAAGCCCTTGACGATGGGCAGTCACTAGAGGGAGCAACTCCTCCCTGCCCAGTTCTCACCAGCCCTTCTTACTGCACCAGCAAGAACGTCTCCATTGCGTGCTGCCCGACATTCACATCTCCTACAGGAGAGGATTCTAGCTCAGAGCTTCAGCAGGTAAAACAAACAGCAAAAAGCCCAAAGCAGCCAACTAACCAAGCAACCAGACAGACAGAGATCTTACATTGAAAAACTCCCTCCAAGGGGTGAAGGAGATCAAAAGGGACAAACTCCGGTTATAAGACAAATTAGTTCTGGGGATGTGCTGTACAGCATGATGACTATAAATAACAGTACCAGATCACATGTTTGAAAGCTAGGAGAGCAGATCTTCAAAGTTCTCATCAGAAGAGAAAAAAAGTGTAACTCTGTGAGGTGACAGATGTTACCTAGACTTACTGTGGTGATCATTTAGCAATATGTACAAATATCACATGACTATGTTGTACACCTGAAACTAATACAATGTTATATGTCAATTATACCTCAACAAAACTGGAAAAAAATAAAAATAAAAAATATCTTCACTGTACTTTTTTTTCCTGGATACCTTTCCCTTATGGCAAATGATACTGGTTCTCCATTTATGGGGGCACAAGCTTGCTTTTGAACTACATTTGGTGTAAGTTAGAAAAGCAAAAACAAATGGAAGGGAAGATATAAAGTAAGAAATTGTCAGAGGTGTGGAGCATGGGCAACTTACAAAGGAGTGTGTGAATGGCTGAGGTTTGGGAGACACAGGCCTGGCCTCGTCACCCCTATTCAGAGATGGCAAACTGGAGGATCAGAGAGGGTAAGGGATCTGCTCAAAGTAATACAGTAAAGCCCTGACAGAACACCACTTGATGCCCAGGTATGCTCACCCCATCTCGGCGGGGGGGTGGGGGTGGGGGTGGCAGGCTGACCCAGGGGAGGTCTAGGTAGGGGCCACCCCCACTCTGGCCCCACCTCCTCCTCCAGTGCCACTCTCTGCCCAGCGTAGGCTCACCTCCACCATTTTTGTAGCACAGGTACGGGAAACGCCAGACGTTGCCCAAGCCGACGAAGCCGCCAGCCACAGACAGCACAAAGTCGATCTTGCTGGACCACTTCTCCCTCTGCGGGGGCTTCCCTTCGGCCTCATCCTCAGGCCGTGTGCCCGGGCTCTTCCCTGGGGACGGCTTCAGGATGTCCTTGTGAAAGTCTTTCAGACACTGCAGCTTCTCCTTGCTGGCCATCTCCTCACTTTCTATGGGGGACAAATCAGAACCCAACGTGAAATCGGTAAGGGGGCCTACGTTGTCTTTGGCACAACCTCTTCCTTACCACCCACGGACCGGCTCTGACCTGCCCAGGCTGTCACCGGGGGCCCGCCATCCCCTTGTCTGTCCACTGCTCTGACAACATGCTGAGTGATTATGACTCCCTCTAGGCGATCAGGGACCTCAGGATTCAGGAACTGACAGGTTCCGTTCCCCAGGCACCTTCTGACAGAAGCACCGGGGGCCCATGTGTGTTGTCCCTGAATATCACACCTCATCCTGCACCTGCAGGCAGATAAGCACAAAGCCACCCTGGCCCTGGTATCATCTCTTACAAAATACGACACTCCTCAGGCAGTTCTAAGGCACCTTCCAAAGAACAGCCTGCCTGCAGTTTCTAGAAATTAACAGATGCTATTTCCAAACTTTGGATTTGCGTAGAAAATGACGGCTCCCATTTCACTCATACTTCAGCACAGTGCCTGGCCCACAGGAGGAGCTGATTCCTAACTGTTTAAAGAACAGATCAATGCAAACGAATGAGCAATAGGGTTTCAGGCTGGAATGGAAACAATATTTGAAAACGGGGTTTCCACCAAAGTATGGAAAATCGATGTTTATGAAATACATTTGCAATTTATCAAAGTCACACCACTGCAGCCCAGAAAATAAGGGATTCCCACTGGTGAGCATCATGCCAGAGTGCAGTTAATCTCCATTTGTCCACCCCTCTCCATCCACCCTCTGCCTTGCTTTGACCCCGCATCCTCCAGGCCCCCTTGCCCTCTGACTCCCTGTTGGGTTCAGCAGTGGGAGGCCCCAGAGGAGGTCAAATTTCTAAGTCCCTGGAGCTGTGCATGGTCACCCCCAGCCCACCCCTGCTTGGACCCCACTGCTCGGCCTTGAGGGCAGGAGCATCGTGAGTCCAGCCCAGAGGGAGGGTGTTTCGAGGCTTTATCCCCACATGGTGGAGGGCCACAGAAGACAGACGAGCTGGGGGAACCAAAGCTAGTGGGCCTCCCCACCCCTCCTGAGCCTCAGTTTCCCTATCTGCAGAAGACAAAGGATGATGGCAAAGGTGACCGACTCATAGCCAAGCAGCCTGAGACATAACTTGTTTCTCTTCATGATCCAAATTGGTGGGCAACACTGAAATATCAGATTTCAGAGAAAAGTTGAGATTTCTAGGTTCTCTTGAAAAATTGGATGGTCAGGCCATGTTGGGTTCACCCACCTTACAGCGACCATCAGCTGGACCAGATGCGGCCTTGTCACCTGGGCACACCTGGGCCAGCTCACCACCCAGCTCACAGGACATTCCCAGTGGACAAGGACCTGTCTTGTCCACCGCTGTGTGCCTGGAGCCTGGCGCACAGTAGGTTGTCAGACAAGAACCGTTGGGTAGATGGTTCCCAGGTGGAATCTGCTGGCAGCTGGTGCTAAATACAAACCAACCGTGTGATGCGGGCAACTCACTTGGCCTCAGAGCCTTGCCTGGTACAGGACGGGGTCCAGGCAGGGTGAGGCGGGGGCTGCCTGTGGACCTGGGATGTGGAGACGGGATGCGTTGGCCTGCGCCAGCAGCTGGGCCCACGGCGGCAATGCTCTGAGGAGCAGAGGCACAAAAGCACAACAGACCCCGGGTTCCCCCACGTCTCCTTCCTCTCCCTGGCTCGGGTGGGGGACCCCGATTGTTTCGCTATCTGTCGGTGAGCAGACCAAGAAAAGGCTTCCTGGAGCCGCCGGGCGGGCGACTCACTGAGCCCTTCCTCTGTCTCCTGGAGCGCAGACTGGCGGCGGCATCCGCATGGCCTTTCTTTGCCCTGCTCCCTCGGGACGATGCGGGGGTTCGGCCAGGCGTATGGTTACTGTAAAAATAGCCCGAGCAGCCAGCATTGTCTCAGTTAATGCGTGCAGCCCCCGATGGTTATCTGAGTGGACCATTGTGGGCCGGCTGGATGGGAGCATAATTGGAGGATGTGGGACTCAACTCCCTCCTAGTGGAGATGTTTTTCAGGGAACGACCCCTGAGCCTCCTCACCGAGAAGGGTTAGCTCCGCCCTTGTGGGCTCTCCTTGGATCTCTGGGCTGGAAGGCACTTCACAAGGTCAGCCAGGCGGAGTGGGGAGGTGGCCAGCTTCCACTCACTCAGGCAGCTGGGACTGGTGAAAGCTCTTCCCCAGTAGAAGCTGGGGTCTGCTTCCCTGTGGCTGCCCCCAGACCCACGTGCCACACTGGCGCTACACAAACATTGCGGGGGAGCAAGTTCCCTGAGACCCTTTGCTCCCGGCTCTGGTTTCCTCCAGCCCCTCTCTCCACTCAGGACCCCATATTCCTGACGCTGAGCCAGGATGGGGGGTGCTGAACGGGGCAGAGCCGGGGCCTGCCATGTGCCTGGCACTGTGGGGATCTCCCCCCTCCTCATTCCCAAGGTGTATCTGGAGATGAGTTCCTCCCTCACCGGCTCCTGTCCCACCTGCAGCTGCTGCAGTACAGGCCCACCCGCCCTCTGAGAACACAGAGCCAGCAGCCTGCCTCTGGCTCCCTCAAGCCAGGCCATCATCCATGGCCTCACCCAAGACTCACTCATGCCTAGATGAGGTCAGACCCAGGTGCGAGTGCCTCAGCTCCCTCTCAGGGGCTCTTTCCAAGCCCCCCTGGGGTGTCTGACCAGCCCCGTACCTGTAAAAGTCCACTGCAGCAAGACCCGCTGATTCTGCCTCCTCCACATTCCTGGCATCCACCCGCATCTCTACTGCCATGGCCACCACCGAGCTCCAGGCCCGCCAGCCCTCTCACAGGCATCAGCAGCAGCCTCCTCACAGGTCTCCCTGCTGCTACTCAGCCCAGCCCTCGTCTCCAATCAGTTCTCAACACAGCAGCTGAAGGCAGCTTAGCAAGAATTCTCAGACCATAATACCCTCCATCACTCCTAGAAGAAAACACAAGCTCCTCACTACCGTCTACCGATCCCAGCGCGGGCCCCTTTTCCTTGGGACACAGAACTGCTTTAGTTTGTCCCATTCTTCAGGCTCGGGCTCCCTGCACAGCTGCTCCAGGCCCTCTGGTGGCAGCCTGGCTCCTGTAGGAATCTGAGTGTGAGCCCTGACCTAGAAGCTGAGAGACAGCCAGCCACTTGCTGGCTGGGTGAGCTCAGGCAAGTCACTCAACTTCTCTGGTCCTCAATGTCCTTATCTGTAAAATGGGGATAATCGTGCCCATCTCAGAGGGATGTTGTGAGGACTGAATGGGGAGTTGCCTGGAAAGTGCTTAGAACAGAATTTGGCATGTGACAAGTACTCCTTAAACAGCAGCTGCTAGTAATACTGATGTTATGACTGCTATAATAATTGTCGGGTCCTCCCTGACCTCGGGGAACGGAAGGCCTTAATCCTACTCAGGGTGAGATCTGCAAGGCCCAGAGAGGCCAAGTGACGCTCCCAAGGTCATGAAGCTGGTAGTGACAGTGGCTGTGATGTGCCTGCACCCTCGGCTCTGCTTCTGCTGTCCCTCTGCCATCCCAGCCTGTCTCGGATGACACCTTCCCTGGAGTACCTCGTCCATCTCTGCAGACTCGCGGTGAGGCCCACTAATGCTCGCCCACGGCCCCCAGCAGCAGCCCCTGGTGCAGTACACACTTAGAAAGGAGTCCCTCCGCAGGCGTTCCAGCAGCCCGTGGCCTTGCTGGCGGCCGCCGGGGAGCTGTTTTCCTTGGCGCCGGGCCCGGGGCTATTTTGTAGCAACCATGATACATAATTCCCCATTTTAAGAGCTTCCTCTTCGGTTCTTACAGCTACAAGTGGTTAGAATCTGCTCCAATACGGCCTCCAGGAAGAAGGCTCCCTCTTTGCCCAGCTGAAACTCTCCTTATCTGTTCCAGGAGCTGAGGCCAGAACCAGCTGTGCCTGAAGACTGACTTGCAGATCACCTGGTCAGCTTCGGCACGCACACGGGCAGTCAACCTGGCGCCAGAGACGCCACGGGTTTATAAAATACTCCTTTGCTTCCCTCAACCGAAAACAGCCAGAGCTGTGAGCACTTATTCTGTGCTGAGCTGCCTATAAACAGGTTTCTCTTCACTCCTCAAACATCCTTACTGTGGAGGGACTTTCAGGACTGGTCACAGAGGAGGGGGGCTGAGGCTCCAGCAGGAAGGTGGATGGCCTCTACCCATGGGATGGAGGCGGCTCTGCCTTCCTCAGCCTGATGCCTAAGGCACTGGAGCAAAACTGAGAAAGGAGGGGCCTCTGCACTGCTTGCAGATGGGGACGCTGAAGCCAGAGGGGAAAGGACTGCGCAGGTACAGAGCGAGCGGCAGCGTGGGGTTGGGGACCTGGCGTCGTGCCTGCCACAGTGCCCTCCCACCCTCTGGCCCAGTGGTCTACCCACCAGGCACGGGCCCTGAACTGAGCTGCAGATGCTGCTGCAGCTGCCTCCCCCAGCGTCTGCCACCTCAGGCCAAGGCTTTGGGGAAACCTTCCCTTGCCTCTTCTTCCAGGACAAGTGGCCCAGAAGCTGGGGTTCCCTGCCTCGCCCTCCCCTGCAGAACCTGAAGCTTTTCAAGAGAACAGTCCGCTTTCCACACGGCTCTCTCTGGTAGTGAACAGTGACTTAAATCTCTCGTTGTCGCTGACGTAATCACTCAGGAGCAACCACTACTTGTTAAAATAAGAGGGCAGGGACTTTTCCTCTTTTGAGTACACCCCCACCCCAAAAGGGCCTGGCACACAATGGCTTCTAAGACCCATCTCTGGGCTTGAGGGACAGTTGCTCTTTCTCAGCAAACCTCTGAGGGTTAGGCAAGTGGTTCCCAGAACCCCAAACTGGGACAAGGGGAGACCTGGCTTACAGACCCATTTTATAGGTGGGGAAGCCCAAGACCTCAACAGACCCTCACCTGTTAGGCCTGTTACGGAATCAGGCACACGGCTGGACCCCTGTCAGTCCTTTCTAGAGCAGGAGGTCTATCTTCCTCTCCTTTCCTCAT